GCCCAGTCTCTCCAGCTCCCCAGCCCAGTTCCCCAGCTCCCTAGTTCCTTCAGCTCAGATACCCCATTCCCCCAGCCTATCCTCCCTACCCCATGACTCCCATGTCATCTGTGTTCCAGACTGGGCATGGCATATGGTGCCACATGGCTGGGCTGGCTGGGAATGTTGGTGCTCCTGCTTCCAGCATCAGGACTGCTGGGGGCTGGGAAGGGCTGTAGTGCTTTCTGCTTCCCTGAAGACAAGGTGGGAACAGCCCAGGCTTTCACAGCAGAGCTGCCAGAAAGGGCAGGGAGAGAAGAATGAGGGGAGAGGGTCCACCTGCACCAGCCACAGCAGTTTGTCCCCAGCTATTCACCGCAGATGTCCACTTCCAGTGGGATAGGATGCCAGAGATTCTCCCGGCTCCTTTTCCCAGGTGAGGATGCTGGGAGCAGTGGTGTGGCATGGTAAGCCACGTGATGCCAGGTCCCTGTCTCCTCGCAGGTGCTGAGTATGGTGACATCCCTGTGCTCTCCTATCCCTTCGGCTATTGCATCCCTGGAAGGGCCTCATCCTGGATAAAGGGGCTCAGTCCCACATTCCTGCTGCTGAGACAGGCTTTGCTTTGCCAGTCTAGGTACATGCCACATTGCTCTGTCATCATTTACACAGTTATTCATGGGAGCTGGAAGAGGGTTCCTCGGTATTCCCAAGTGGAAAGAAAGAAATCCTGAGTCGGCAACATATTCAGAGCTGGATGGGAGCCAGAGCCTCAGCTCTTCCAAAAATAACATCCTAGTCAGCACTGCCAATGGCAGCATGCCCACCTGCTCCTGGCCACGGCACCGTGGGGATGCCACGGCAAGGCCCTGCACTGGCACAAAGGATGATAATGCTTATGTGCTGCACGGGTACAGGGCATGGGCTCGCAGTGACAGCATCACATCAGGGTGACCCACAACCTGGAGACAGCCTGTGTGTCTCTGTCCTGCACCTGTGTCCCCTCCTACCCCAACTGGCTTGGAAAAGCCCGCTGAGACCATTGAGTCCAACCAGCCCCCCAGTACTGACAAGGCCGCTATTAACCCATGTCCTCACGTGCCACAGCTACACGTTCTTTTAAACCTCTCCGGAGATGGGGACTCCACCAGTGCCAGGGCTGGACAACCCTTTCAGTGAAGAAATTTTCCTAACATCCAACCTAAGCCTTCCCTGGCACACAGTGCAGGTGTCCCTGCAAGTGCCACAACTCTCTGCACCCGTGTCCTCCAGCTGCTCCCGGTACCCGGCCAACCTGGGCTGCTCCGCTGTCCCTCGGGCCGCCCTTCCTGCGGGTGGCCCCTGTTCTCTCGCCGGTCCCCCCCGCTCCCGCCCCTCGGTGCTTCCCNCCCTGGGCACCCCCGATCCGCGGTGAGATCCCCCCGCCCCGCCATCACCCCGGGACTGGCGTAGCCGGCGGCAAGAGGGTGGCGCGGTGACCCCGCCGGGGACCTGGAGGCAGGAGGGACCCTGGGGCGGTGCTGCAGCTTGTGCTTGTGGGGAAGGAGCGGGGACCCCACAGGGAAAGGGGACTGGGGACCCTACAGTGAGTGAGAACTCGGGAGTTGATCCACCACCCAGGAGTGAGCGGGAATCCCAGGGAATACTGGGTTCCCTCAGGTGATGCAGAGCCTTGGGGCGAGCGGGGAATTGGCCGAGCTGGCCCCCGATGGCCAGCAGGGACCCCGGGACAGGTGGGGTTAACTGGTACACATGGGGACACATGGGAAGTCATGGAGGGAGTGGGGACCCCAGGACAAACACAACTCCAGGGCTGAGCCAGGGACAAGTAGGCACCCCTGAGGGCTGTGCAGGGGGGACTGGGGGCTCAGCCAGGGACAGACAGGAATCCCCAGGGTGTGTGGGGCCATGGGTCCTGGGTGCTGCTTCTCCCCACTTCACCCACTGGGAATGCACCTCCCATGCTTGCCGCACACCAGGGCTGGACTGGGGGACTCCTTAGAGCCTGCAGCCGCTGGTCTGCTATCACTGGGCTTGTCCCCTTGCCCAGAGCTCCCTGTGTCCCCATTGCATTTCCCCGTGGGTCCCTTCTCTCTTGGTGCCATGGTGCTGGCAGAGGCAGGTGCATGCTCATCCTGGCTCTTCCCTCTGGCAAAGTGGGGACACCGGGATTCCAAGGGACAACTTGAGACAGGAGCAGTGTCCAGATGGGGTTACACTGGAGTCTCTGGCTGGTGTCCCTGTCCCTGGTGGCACCTCCGTGAGGCTGTCCTAGTGTAGTGGGTGGCATTGCCCTTGCCGTGGTGTCAAGTCCGGGTGGTGGTGGTGGTGGTGGTGACGGTGGCAGCAGTGACGACGGTGGCAGCAGTGACGATGCGGCCTGCTCACACACTGCTCTGCAGCAGCCACGCGAGCAGTTGGCACTGGCACTGATGGGGAAACCTGTCCCTGGGGCACTGGCATTGGCTGTGCCCTGGTCCTGCCATGGAACCGCTGGGTTGCTTCCACCGTAGCGTGCTGGGGAAGTTTGGGCTGCTGTGACTCAGGAACAGGTCCCCGTTGTGCCCTGGTGGCAGCAGTGAGCCCTGGGAGGGGGAATGGTGGTCTCTAGGGTGTAGGGAGTCCCTGGTGCCACTTTCACCCTACCCCATCCCCACAGAGGTGGGCAGCAGTGGCGGGTGGGATGCAGAACGTCCATCACTGTGGCATCCAGGAACGATGGCAGTGGCATGGCTCTGTGGGACCGTTCATCTTGACCCCCCCCACCCCAAGCTCCTTGTGTCCCCCAGCCCTGCTGCTTGCTCTTGGGGGTTGCATCCCAAAACATCCCCCGGACTGAGGTGGCGTTTGGGTGCGTCCCCTGCCTGTTCCACAATCCCAGTGTGCCACGTTGGCATGGCAGGGACCCAGCCCACTCCAGGATGTCCTGGCACGGCTGCTCCCACCACAGCACCTGGAGCTGTCTTTTGCCTCTGGGGATCGCTGAGCAAGGTCCTGCCCCTTTCCATGCCCTCCTGGAAAAATCCTGCTCGGAAAGGTCCTGCTGTGTCGTAATGTGTTGATTCCATGTGCCACTGGGTATTGGAGACCCTGTGGGGTAGCTGTACTTGTCCCCATGTCATGGTCCCCAGCAGCACCCAGGCCTACCATCCCTCCCAGGGTCAGATGGTCCTGCTGGATTTTGAAGGCATGGACACATGCGTCATTGCTGATGTGGCATGGCAAGGTGCTGCCCAGGGGTTTGCCACTCACACTGGGGGTCTCTGCATGGGTGCTGGTGATTCTCTGCAGCTTCCCACACCTGGTTTCCCCTAAATTTATCCTGGATTCCTCCTGCATTCCTTGCCTAGTTAAGTGGAACCTGAAGGTCTCGCCCTGCTTTGAGGCTGCCGCCCCCTCCTCCCCGCCCCCCTCCATTAGGGATGCAGCTCCCGTCTAACCTGTTTTCTGGAGTCTGGGAACAAGTTGGCGCCATGGCTGATTTCTCGGTGGGACATTTGGTGGCCTTGGGACTGGCTGCGGGTTGGGGTAACCCAGCCAGGACACCCTATCCTACCCAGCGGGGCAGTGAGTTGGTGTCTGGGCATCTGAGATCTCCCAGGGAAAATGGTTTCCCCTCTGAATGGGCTGTTCCCACAAGATGGCCAGGAGCCATCCTGTAGGATGCAGCTGAAGGATCTGGGGTGAAGCCACCACTGAGGCTGAGCTTGGAGACCCCCTTGGTGCCCTCACCACTGCTCCAGGCAGGAGTGGTGGGTCTCCCCTTTGAATCTGCTTCTGTCCCACAGTCTGGTACTCATTCTATGTTCCCTTGGGCACAGCATAACCTCAGCCCTGGGGACTTAATCTCTTCCTTCTCCTTCTCCTTCTCCTCCTCACCCCATTAGTCAATATTGACTCAGGGTTGGGGCGTGCGTTTCCGGGCGCTTCCCGGGTGGCACCATCCCCTCTCCTGCTGCGACCCCCCTAGCACCCCCCCTGGCATGTGAGTCACCTGCAGGGCAGGTCCTGCACTACTGGCTTGACCAGCCTTGCTGCTCTGGGAATAATCCACCTGAGCATGGTGCCTGGCTGGCCTGGGTGCAGGTGGGAGCAAGGGTTCTCCAAGCAAGTCATCCAGGCAGGCTCTCCCCTAAACTGCCCTGCAGGGGTGGGTGTTCCCAGACAAGTTTTTGGGTGAATGGAGGAGCTGGAGATGGGCTCTGTGGAGCAGACGTGAGTCTCTGAGTTTGAAGATAAGCACTGTGAGGTTGGGGACACTCCATGGGGCAGGGATGGGTCTGTGGGGTTGGGGATGAGCAGTGTGGGGGTGGGCTCTGTGGGGCAAGGATGGGATTGAGGATGAGTGCTGTGGGGGAACAGGCTCCATGGCTGTATCCCACCAAGGGGCCATGTGAGGCTGTGCCCCATTGCTGGGTGCTTCTGTGCCTCTTCCCAGGGCTGGGGGGTCTTTAGTTCCATGTGCTTGGGCAACCCCTAAATCCTGAACCGCAGGGTCTGGGGTGCAGGAAGAGCTGGTGCCATCCCTGGGGAAAAACAGGAGCCAGTGGCATTCCCAGGAACAGGCTGCTGGCTGCTCTTTGCCCTATGCTTGGCTCTAGCACCCTTGAGCTCAGCAGATGGCATCCCTGCTACAGGGGTAGCTGCCCTCACCTTCTCCTTTCTCCTTGTCTCCTTGCCTTCCCTGGATCTGGCTGCCATGGTTATGGAGCAGGTCCCCACTCTGCACCCCCCAACCCCTTCTGTGTGATCCATGCTGCCCCGAGGCACCAGGCAGAGCCCCACATGCTGGCTCCCCCCAGCTCCCCTGTGCAGGGATGCTGCTTAGAGGGGAGCACATCCACAGTGATGGGGAGGGGGGCAGGTGGGAAACAGAGTCCCCTAGTACCCAGGACTCAGCTCCACGCTGCCTTGAGGCCCTGCATGCCTGTGCTATGGGGTGGCTCTGAGTGGAAAACTGAGCTGCTGGTTGGGATCCAGGTCTTCTTGGAGGAGGTTGTGTTGATTTCTTTTTTGTTTTAAATCTGAAAGGAGACACCATCCCCACACTGCTCACTGGGACTTCCCACAGCTGCCTTCCCACTTGGGGGTCCCCATGGCTGCTCTCTCACCCAGGGGTCCCCACTGCCTCCCTCCTGCCTGAGGGTCCCCACTGCTGTCCTCTTATGAGTTCCCCACAGCCACCTTCCCACCTGGGGGTCCCAATGGCCATCCTCCCACCACGAGGTCCCCACTGCCATCCTATTGGGGATCTCCACAGCTGACCTGCCATGGGGTCCCCATGACCACTGTCCCACCCTGGGGGCCCCTGGTGGGTCTCTCATGCCCCCTGCCTTGCAGTGCAGGATGGAGTGCAGGGACGTGCCGGCAGAGACGCTCTACGACGTGCTCCATGACATCGAGTACCGCAAGAAGTGGGACACCAATGTCATCGAGACCTTTGACATCGGGAGGCTGACGGCCAACTCCGATGTGGGCTACTACGCCTGTGAGGAGGGGGCTGGGGGGATCTGGGTGGTCCTGGGGGAGGGCTGAACCCCAGGGCTGTTACCACTCCACCTTTGGGTTTGGCATCTGGGGGATCCATGGTGTCTGGCATTGAAGGGGAGGAGCCTGGATACCAGTTTGGGGGGATTTGGAGGGCATCCCATACTTAAGGGTGGGTGTCTCACTCTGGAACATCCCATCTGGTGCTGTCCCTAGGGAGGTGTCCCAAGCCCCTGAAGAACCGGGACGTGGTCACACTCCGCTCCTGGCTGCCCATGGGCTCTGACTACATCATCATGAACTACTCTGTCAAGCATCCTGTGAGTTTAGCGGGACACCAGGGGTCCTGTGGTGTTGGGCTGGGGCTGGGGCTCACTCAGAGCTTGGGGGGATAGGTTGGAAAGTTGAGGGGGTCATGATAGCCCAGCTTTTGGCTGGTGTCTGCTGTACCCCACCTGCCCTGCCACTGACTCCTGTTTCCTCCTTGTTCCCCACCACAGAAATACCCACCCCGCAAGGACATGGTACGGGCAGTTTCCATCCAGACAGGCTACTTGATCGAGGGGACGGGCACCAAGAGCTGCACCATCACCTACCTGGCACAGGTAGACCCCAAAGGTAAGAAAGGAACCCCCAGCTCTGTGCCCTGGGGCTCAACACCCTCACATCTTTTCCTCATGTCAGTGGGGTCTAGGGGGAACTCAGGGCGGGCTTAGTGGGGGTCTCATGGGTTCTCAGTGTAGGCTCATTGGGAGTTCAGGGCGGCCTCTGTTGGGGCTTAATAGGGGCTTTGGGCTCAGAGGGGGCTCAAGAATAGCTTGGGGGGCTCAGGTGGGCTGGGGGAGGGCTGAATGGGCACTCACTTGGATTTAATGGGGGCTCAGTGGGAGCTCAGTGGGGATTCAGGTGGGGCTCTGGGACTTCAGGGCAGGGTCAGTAGCAGGGCTTCAGTAAGTCTCAGGTTGAGCTCAGGGGAGTTCAGGAGGACCTGTAGATGTGCTGGAGGTGGGCTTGGAAGAGGTTATCAGAAGGAGCATCTTGGGATGCAGCCAGAGCCAGACACGGAGCATGGAGCAACGTCAGGAGAAAACATCTTGGGTCTGTTCTCTTGAAATCTTCTATTTTTGGGGGTTGAAGAGGGACCTAAAATGCTGAAATCACCGTTTTTGACCTCTGCAAGAGCAGAGAGCGGTATGGGTGGAACCCTGTTCCCTCTCTCCAGCCCCACTGAGAGTACCGTGGGGGTCCCATGTGTGGGGGTCCTGGTTTTCAGGCATCTGGGGGATGCTGGGGGTCCCACTCCCAGCCATCCTTCCCTTCTCTCCAGGTTCTTTACCAAAGTGGGTGGTGAACAAATCTTCCCAATTCCTGGCTCCCAAGGTGAGTTTGTGGCACTGGGGTGGGTCTGGTGTGGTAGCAAGGGGTCTCTGTGCCCATCTCACTCTTCCTCCCAGGCGATGAAGAAAATGTACAAGGCATGCCTCAAGTACCCTGAGTGGAAGCAGAAGCATGACCCTCACTTCAAGCCCTGGCTATACCCGGAGCAGAGCCGACTCCCAGCCTTGGCACTCTCTGAGCTCTCCCTCCAGCATGCAGATTCCCTGGAAAACATTGATGAGAGCTCCCTGGCCGAGAGCAAGGAGGACCGTGGCGAGGGCAGTGACGAGGACAGCCTGACCTGATTCCCCTGGGAGCTCCTCTGCTTGTTGCCCTGGCTAGGACAGCCTGACATGTGCCCCACTGGGGGCTCCTCTCCCTGTCCCCCCACCCACTTCCAACATGGTTTGTGTCTCTATCTCACACACCTGTACACATGCACCCCCACTTTGGGTTCAGGGGGACCCCCCCCCATTGTTGTACCCCTGTGTGGGGACAGCAGGGACATAGTGGGTCCCCCAGGGTGGGAAGCTGGAGGTTGTCTGGTCACTCAGCCCTCGTGGGACATCAGTGTTGTCCCTATTGGTGGCAAACCCAAAGTGTCCTTCAGCTTCTCGGGGAGCAGAGGAAAAGGGCAGCCCTGTGCCTGCTCCTCAGCCCTGGAGACCCTTCCACTGCGCTCCTCCTCTGCCCCCATCCTTGCTCCTCATCTCTGTTGTGGTCCAACAGAACTGCCTTCATCCCATGGGATCCCCACCCTCAGCAGACCTCCAGGGGGTGCTTGGGCACTTGCCTGCACCTGTGGTTATGCAGAGGGATTTTGGGGGGCTCCTGGCACCTCCTGGCATGCTGGGAAGGAGGGCCTTTGGGGTTTTTTGGCATCTCCAAGCATGTAGAGGGGAAGCTTCTAGGCTCCTGGCACCTCCAGCATGTTGGAGGGGATACTCTGGTCTTACCTTCAGGCATGTGGGAGGAGTTGGGGGGCTCATGGCACCTCCAAATGTGCTGTGGTGGGTGTTTTGGGGGCTCCTTGGATCTCCATACACATTGGGGGGGGTGGTCTTACAGGCTCTCGGCATCTTCAGGTTTGTTTGGGGGAAGTTTTGGGGTGAGTTTGTACCTCCAGGTGTGCTGAGTGTCTCTGGGGGCTCCCAGCATCTTCAGGTACATTGGGAGGACTTGGGGGAGCTCCTGACACCCCCAGATGTTCCATGGGTCTCTGAAGGCTCCTGTCTCCTCCCTCGCCTTTCCAGGATGGGGACCCTTTCCAAGCTGGGTGTCTGAACCCTTCCTCCACTGGAATTTGAGGCCTTGACTGGGGGTTTGGAAGCTGGTCTTTGGCCATGCTCCTGCCCCCTCCTTTTCTGGGGGTGCACAGGGAGATGGGAGATTTTGTACCTTGTACCGGAGCTGATTATTTAGGAATAAAATAACTAAATCACCAGAGGGACTCAGCCTCTGTCCCACCTCGGTCCTTTGGGAGCCATCCCTGTCCCCATAGTGTGCTCAGGCAGGGGCCCCCTGCTCATGGTGGGTGGTGGTGGGACCCTCAGGTGTTGTGAGGACCTCCAGGGAGGCTGTGAGTGATGGTGATGCCACCAGAGGGTGATGGAGAAATCCCTAAATTGAATTTGCACTGGGCACTCACTAACTGGGGACAAGGCTACACACCCTTGTAGCTGGTTTTCCCACAGTCTCAGCCAAGCCAGTACCACCAGTTCATTTCTCCCAAAAGCACCTCTGGAGAGGAGACTGGGTGCTGAACTTTGGGGGCACTCTGTGGGGATACATTCTGGCTTCTCCAGGAGGAGAATCCTGGGGAAGAGAGCTGACACTCCCCGGGATTGTGGGCCCTTTGTGGAGCCCCAGGACTCGTCTCCTGCTCCTCCTTCTGCTCGTGCACCCCACTTCTGCCCTCCTAGTGCTCTGGCACCCCAACACCTCAGCAGGCCTCAGCCTTTCTCTGCACCCCAGCAGGGTCTCGGTGGCTGGCATTGTCCAGCATGTGCCATTCTCTGTGTCTGTGTCTGTCACCTGTGGGGCTAGGGTGGGCACTAGAGACTTGCTTCTCCTTTCTCCTGTAAATTTCCACCCACCACACCCTCCACCCCCTCCCACCCTCCTGCACTGATCCCAATTATAAATAGAACCCAATTAAAAAGGAACCTGGCCACCACCCCCCTCCCTGGCAGGTTGAAAATGGAGCTGAACTGGATGCAGGACATACTGCAGTGGCTCTGGAGCCAGGGGGACATGTAGCAGGGCAGGTGATGGGGTAAAGCCCCTGGTGGGGAGGGTTTAGGTCTGTCAGCTCTGAGAGGTACAGCCGGAGACCCAGAGCTGCGGTACCGGAGAGAGAAAACGGCTCCAAAGGAAGTGGAAAATGCCCTGGCACATGCCTGGTGCCAGAGGGGTTGAGAAGAGCTGGGGCTCAGGTAGGATGTGGGGAGGGGGGCAGCGATCTCAGGATTGTGCTGGGGACATTCTCAGATACTGACATGGGTGATCCCTGAAATGCTGCTGGGAAGGACTACGAGGCTTCAGCCCTTCAGGGATCAGGCTGGGGCACTGCCGCTGGCCCCTGGGGTCTCAGACAGCGCTTTGTTGTGTGATACCCCCCAAATCGGGTGAGGCCATGGCACCCTCATCCTCTGCCAAAGGCTCTGGGAGAGTATTCCCCCCCGGATGGACCCGAGGGTCCAGGACAGGAGAGCAGGGGCGTGTGATGATTGTGGGAAGCAGGATGGGATAACGAGGGGGATGTGATGGCTCCGGGGAGTGGGACAGGGGAGCGGGCGGCTGCGATGGACTGGGGGAGCGGCAATTCCAGGAGTAGGGGGGATGCGGGCGATAGAGGAGCTTTTTGGGATATCTCACAGCGTCCCCCCGGCTGAGCCCCACCGAGCACCATGCCCCGAGTGTGGGGCTGAGCCATGGCCCCTCCTGGCCGTGTCCTCGCGTGGGCGAGGGGCCGAGCGGGGGGGCCCTCCCACCCCCGGAGCAGGCAGCCAGCGTGTCCCGGTCCCTGAGCGCCGGCATGAAAGGACCATTGTCCCAGGCTGGGCAGCCGTGAGGGCTGGCCATGGACACCCCACATCCCCTCCGTGTCC